ACCTACATATGCAAACAAAACATTTGCTGCATACTTGGGGTGGGGGGATTTGCATGATAGAAGATGATGAAAATATGCATAATTGTAGATGACATTTTTCATTCCCGAGTCCTGTTGCACAGAACTTTGGAACTGGCCATGCGTGAAAGAGGCTTGCAATTCCAGTGGGTGGATTGCCTGGCTGTGCTGCTAAACTGAACCTTCAAGACATTAAATCTGTTTCTTCTTGAGCAACACAAATCTGGCGGTATCATCTAACCAAGCAGACCTGTACCTGCAGAGGACACGTATGACACTGTCTGAGGGGGCTGAAACAATTACAGTTCCACACGCCACATCTGACTTCATATCATGTGGCAGCTTCAGAGACTCACTTAAAGATTTTGCCTGCGAGTTTTCTCTGTTCTCTTCAAATCCCAAATACAACAGAAGGTAACATCACACAATTTCAGTCAGCAGTACCTAATTTATCTATTCTTGCCTCTGTATTTCATCGCACAGCAGCATTTATAGGACATGGTTGGTGCTCCCAGGCTTACCTGGTTAAACAAAGAGTTTATCACCTAGTGATCATGAGTGATAGAGAGTTATTTGATGTATAGCAAACAAGACGAACTGCAGGTCAAAACACATTTCTTAACTACTTCATCCATCTTTATTTTGATAATTTATCTATGCAGAAAAGTTCAGATTTGGCAATGGTTGGGCTTTTTGATCTGTTCCCATTTTTTCTGTTAAACTGAAGCTCAAGATCAATTCATTTAAATTAAGGTTGAGCAGTTGCGTAGTGGGGAATATAAATCTTTACCTCCCTTTCCTTCTAGATCATTTTTTCACTAGGGGAGAGCACATCTTCCTAGAACAACAGAAGGAAAAATACATACATAACCCTGGGACCTTGCAGTAGCCCAGTATGATGACATTTCGTGGCTGTGGAAAGCTCCTGACACACTGTTCCCCTTAAGTCTGCATCTTATGATTGCTGACTGTCTTAAGATAGCAAGAAAAGCCAACAGATTTTGCTGTGTAGCAGTAGTACTGCTTAATTTTGCTTCCTTGAGTAAAGAAAGCAATTGTAAGGGAAGTAAAATGCATCTGAAATTTTGGAAATCCAACTGCAGTACACAATTTTTTGCTTCCACTAGCAGAGCGTGTTATTTCCATAATATGCTGTCCTCCCCTTCCCCCACATCAGCTCATTCTGTTCTGCATAAGGAGGGGACAGAAGCTGGTTGTTAGTATTATGCACAAAACCAACACCCAAACTCTTAAATTACCATTATAACTGATATAAAATTCAAAGTCACTGAAATTAGGGAAGGGTTTTATTGCTTTGATGCACACCTCATATGATTCACCTGTATTCATCTCTCTGTCCTATAAAGCCATCAGTAAGTCAGTTAAGTTCCTTTGGTCTTAATTGATGAAACTCTATGGCAGTAAGTGCTGTTTCAGTAACTATGAATTGGACATGCTTTGCTTCATTCTGCCACTTTATTAAATGTACACAGAAAAATGCTGCTTTCAAGCAAGTATCTCCTGAAGAATAGCAAGTGAATTCAGCTCCTAAATCCCAAAGGGATGTCTACAGGCACACTGCAAGTCTGCCAGCAGGATAGTACACTGGAGACTTGGCTCTGAAAATTGCACCAGCACAAATACATATTAATAACATTGATAAAGTCGCATGACAAGACCATATCTGCTAAGATAGTAAGCACGCACAGTTCTCTCAGATCTTACAAGTATGATATGGAAGTGATTTCCGGTAACGGAGGTTTTCTCTGCCAATGCTGGATGTCTGTCTGGTTGTCCTTGCTGTATCACATCTTATTTATCATTTAAAATTTTTGCAGCTCTGCTGTGCAGAAATAAGAGCTTGAAATGGTTAGCAGAAGGGAGGAAAATTCCTTGGCATCAAGACCAGGTCTCCTTTGGAAAGCACGCAGTGCCTCTGCAACTCATTTATCTGAGTTGTGAAGGTGGGTTTGAAAGAAACCTGACAGGCTCAGACAGGAGCAGCAGCTACCTTCCCTGCAAACTAACTGACAAAACGATTAAAGAACACCCTGCATATAATACCCACTACCTGATTTACACCACATTCGAGGTCTCTTCAAAAAACCAAAGCTATATAGGAGGAGGGATTTCCATGCAAAGTAAATGTCAATGCAGACAAAAATGTGCATCCACGTGAGAGAAAGAGAAGGCAAGCAATCTTGGTAGCCTGCGCCTGAAAAAGAAAGCTGAGATAAACCTGTTCTCTGGAAAAACACTTGAAGCTATGAGCCAAGAAGCTGTCTTTGGTGCTTCACTCCTACTGTGTTCAAAGAAATGGGACTTTCTGTGTGTGCTTTGCACATCAAAGGAACAACTAGCTCAGTACCTCCATCTGATGCAAACACCCACTATGAAGTTTGGCTAACTGTTCACGTCAAGAAGGGGTAATGCTAGTAGGGGTTTGTTTATACTAAATCCATGACAATGTACTGTGTAACTGTTTAATTCCGCTTACTTGCCCAGTTTTATTATCCAGAAAAGGCATACAGCTTTCTCACCTGCAACAGAGTCAAAAAATTTTCTTTGTCCAACAAACTACAAAGTTAACAGCTTTTTAAGTTTAGCAGCCTTCAAACTCGACTCTCAAACTCAGATCCAAACCATTAACCTTAGAAGAGCTCAGACCTACAGAAAGTTCACAGAAGTTAATGAATGTGGAATATTAAACACCTCCATTCAATTGTGATCTAACACAGTCTGGCACTGCAAGCTTTATTAAATCACAGTTGCCTTCTTTTTCTCAGGATTCCCATGAGATGTTTCCTTCCCCCTACCCACAGGAGTTCATAATCTGTGGGATACTGGCGGGCACCAGAACAGCAGAAAAAAAAAAAGGACCATTCTTGTTATTTCAGCCTGTTCTATCAGATTAAAAAAATGTAACTATCCCAAGTGAAGTCCATATGCTCCCACTTATATAGGAATGCTCTTTTGGCAATGTGAGGGTAATGAGAAGAAACTTTCAGCAGCTCAGCACCATGACAGGTTCATGCATGCCTCAGTTAAAATGCAGTATTGCAGAATCAATGTAGAGACTCACCAGCAGTGGCTGTGTTAGGGTTTTTTTCCCTTACTAGTTGAGCTTTGCTGGCATTAGCATCAAAGGAAGCATAAGCATAGGCTGACTGGGTGGCATCTCCTCCTTGGATTTAGGACCAAAGGACTGAATCTTGCTCAATCAGGCCAAGGACATTTCCACACAAAATCTAGGTTATTAATTCAGGTCAACAGGTATTTTTTAAATGAAGATTCGTACAAGATAAGTGCCATGAAATGTTCTAAGTACACACTAGACGATAGCATAAAGATCACACAAAAAAACACCAACAAAGAACTAAACTGACGGATCTGCAGGTGAGATGTGTATCTACAGTTGCATATTGGACAGAAACCAATTTATTTACATACCTGAAACAAAACCTATTTTCAGTTATGCCGTATAAAAGAGGGATTAGCATAAATGTGAATATTTAAATGAGAGAGTAATGCAACATTACAACTTGGAAGGAAAAAAAAGTTGTTAGTCTGAGAACAGAAAAACTTTGCAAAGACAGGAGGCTGACCACACTAACACCACAAAGTCTTTGGACTTTTTTTTCCCTCTCTTACATTTCTGGATTTTTGGCTCTTGCCCATCTCCCACTGATTTACAAATACTCATAGATGCCAAGAAACTCAGGATGATTACGCTCCTGAGATGGAGACAGGGAGTTGTGCACGGTCTGCCTGTAGCCAAAATTTTCTCTCTTGCTAATGTGAAAGCCACATAAAAGGCAGTGCCCAATGACATGCAAGCATCCATCTGGGGAATTATTTGTATGACAAAAAGTTAGAACTGATCACTCAAAAATTAATTCTGGGGGGACCCAGATGAGATCAGTTGGAGCATATAAGCCTCCACCCCTTGGGTTCTACACAACTCCCATTTCTGATCATTCCTGTAAAGGGCAGAGAGCGCGGCTGTATGAACCATCAGAAGACACATCTCGGGTCTCGCCGTCACAGCTGCGTGGGTGCCCCTGCCCCCATCCCCTACCCGAGCCGGTGCCTGCTGAGAGCTGGGGCACGTCGGGCGCCCCGGAGCAGCACCCCGAGCACGCAGGTACTGTGGTAACAGCCCATACCCGCAGCTAAAATCCTGACGGGATATCAAGTCCATCAGTGGACATCAACTGCGCGACAGGCTCCTGACAGGGGGCATGTGCTAATTACTGACCGAGCTGCTAAGTCACATTAGCCCGTTACACACACGTTAGCCCACCATTCTTGTGCAGGAGCTGCAGCGAGACCCCGGGTCATTGTGCACACTGTCTTTTTATAATTTCCAACACGGGAAACGGAGCAGGTGCCGCTGACATGATACAGCGGGATTTACGCTATCCAAAACAGCAAACAATTTGGTTGAGAGCATCCATGGCCCCTGCCGCCAGGGCTGCAGCTCACCGCCAAGGCAACACCACCCCACTCCCAGGCATACTGGGGTCACCTCCTCGCTATACATTTACAGCTCAGGACTGGGGTTTAGTATTTTTGTGTCCTTGGAGGTTATGATACGGTATTGCTCCTCTGGATCGCAATGGCCCCGTTGGGCCCCGAGAGCCCCAGACATGCAAAACCTCCGCGAGCCAAACTTCGACGCGCTGCTTCGCGCGTTTATTGTGAAGCCTCCGCAAGGCAAAACCTCCCCTTCCAGAGCCACGGACCTCTGCTCCTTCCACCGGGCCGCGGCCCGGCTCTCACCGGGCGCCCAGGGAAACCGGGATTACCAGAACGAAGGCGCCGCCAAGGCCCCGGGAACCTCCGCGCCGCTACAGCCCGCTGAGGCGACGCTTCTCCCCGGCGCGAGCGGGCCGGCCGAGGCGGGGCGGCCGCGGGCAGGGCGGGCTCCCACCGCCCCCCCCCCCCCCCCCCTTTCCCGCAATCACATGAGGGAACTTCGGGCCAATGGCGCCGCGGCGGGGGCCGGGGCCCCGCTCGCACCCGCGGACGCTCATTCAAAACGCGGCCGGGCTCGGGTGCCGGCAGCCCCGTACCCCTCGCCCCGGGGCTCCGGCGGGGATGCCCGGCGGGGCTGCGGCCTGAGGCGCCCGCCCGCCCGCCGCCATGCCGGTGAAGAACCGGTACAACCTGGTGGACGATGGCTGCGACTCCCGCGTCCCGCTGCACAACGAGGAGGCCTTCCAGCACGGCATCCACTTCCAGGCCAAGGTGAGCCCCGGCCGCGCTCCCCCCCACCCCCGCCCGTCAGAGCCCCTCGCCCCTTTCCAGGCTCCGGGGGGGCTTTGGCAGAGGCTTCCCCGGGCGGGTCCCCCCCGCAGCGCTGGGCCATCTCTGCCCTCGCCTGTTGCGGACCAGCCCTGGACACGCTTGCCACCAGTGGGGCATGTGCTGGCCACGGGGCCGGTGGCACCGCGGGCTCGAAGCCGGGGCTCGCTGTGCCCCCTCCAGCCCTGCCCAGGGTGTATTTCTTCAGCTCTGGAAGCGCCCCTAGCCCGTGCAACTCTGGGCCAGATCTAAGGAACTCTGAAGGAAAACACCAAGAAATTATGAAAGCCTTACACTCGATTATCACAATCAAACAGGTCTCTCGCGCTTTTCCTGGTATTTTTTTCTACCTGTTAAATCCTTAGAAGCCACCTTCAGTGCTTCGTTTGGGATCTGATTGGAAAGACCCCTCTTGACAGAGCCACAGATACTGCCCGTGCCAGATGCAGGTGCATGTCCTTGCTCAGACTGGTGCTTGTCCCGTCCCCCATCAGGCAGGACCCCATCCCTGCCGCAGTGAGCTAACAGCTCACTATTCCCCTGGAAACCAGGCTCATGTGCTGCTTTAAACCATATTAGTGCCTTATTCCGTCTGACCTATCCCCTGTGTGAAAAGCTGGGCAGGCAAGGGCTTAGTTTAAATGCATGCAGATTTCCTGTATTGGAAGGAAATATCGATATTGTCAGAAATTTCACATTGATCTGAACAGCAGTCTGGCAGCGCAGCATCACTCTCAGAAAGTGACTCCATTGGAATTGACATTCTGTAGACAGCGCAGGGAATGGGTTTATAATTCAGCTGACAAGAAGAATTGCATTTTGCTGGAGCAACTCTAGGGTTCCCTTTCCCTCTTTGCAGGTGGCCTAACACAGATTAGAAATGGAATTCATGCCTGCTGTCTCCTGAGCTGGAAAGAAGGGGCATATATGTTCAAATAAAGCTTTGAAATGCGAATTTTGTGCACTTTGGTTTTCCTGCTGAAAGAGCTGTAAGATTTAAGCATGATGTAAAATGGATTTGAATAGACAGTTAATCACATATTTTAAAAATCTCTTCCTTAGGGGAGAAAAACGATTAACCTTTGATTTGTTTTTTGGTTTGCTTTGTTTTAAAATTAACATTATCTATGCCACAGACTGTGCTGAGAGGAAGAAAAATCCTTATTTTGATTTTTAAAAGACGTGAAGCAACTGTACCTTTAACTGAAATGGGCTTCTTCAGATAGACAGCTTCAGGCATCCAGAGCTATTCGGAGAGTGGATAACACACTGTTAAGATGTGTGGGTCTGAGATGGGGTTTGCATTGCCTTAGTAACGTGCTTACTCGGTTCTGCTCTAAAGTCTGTCTCTTCCAATTAGGACACTCATTGTGGGCACATCAGTCAGCTGCAACTCTGACAATGACAAAGCTGTAACTGGCTGCCAGGTGTCTCGCACCAGGCAATCCTACTGACCACATTTAGTCTCTAATTTCCACATACCAAACTGTCTTGCTTGCCCTATAATCTTCAGGGACAAACTTCAGGAGGTCAGTACAGGGAGGTGCTTGTGGAAAGGTGGCTGTTTGTGCAGAGCTTCGTGAGCTGGCAGGGCTCTGTGTGGGAGCACGAGTACCCAAACTCTGCAGCAAGGCCCAAACAGGGAGTTTGGGAGCATCTCTTCTGGCTCAGCAGTCCGTAGTTCTCCTCTTGCCCCCACCTATTAATTTACCTTTGGTACCATGGCCTGTTCCCCACTGCAGCTCTGTTTGCAGACAAAAGGCCAGCTGGCTGCACTGAATTAATCTGGATTACCTGTGACACTACTGACAGCCACCACGGAGCAGGGAAGGAGGTGCCTGCAAACCAAAGAGAACACAGATCTGCAGTGATGTGGATATGCCCTCACTACCAGGGCAGAGGGAAAACCTGGCTCTGTCGCTCCTTTCCCTGCTGCCCTCAGGCTCTCATGGTCTGAGTGGTTTGACTCTCCTGTGGTTTACCAAAGGCTATAGCTGAACTTAACTGCTCTTAAAAATGCCACTTTGCAGAGGCATTTACAGAAGCATCAGAAAAGCCAGATGACCTTTCAGATTGCTTATGGTGTTTATTTCAAGGCAGGCGAAAGAGCAGTAAATACTGAGCCAGGAGAGCTCATCTCTGAAAGCCTTATCAAGTAGAAGTTTTTAAAAATAAAACCCATTTCAAGCTGCAAGTGTTAGAGAAATAAACCCAGAACTACATCAGTAACAGTGATAGCTATGGGGCTGCTCTTGGGAAAGTGTTTTGTTTCTGTTTGTATCTATATGATCACCCTGAATGTTTGCAAGGGCCTCCTGATTAGCTGCCCCCTCTCGCCCCACCATCCCCACAGGGGAACACCTTCTAAAAAAACCTAAACCCCACAACTTGAAATGACACACTCAAAACCCAGATGCAATTCATGAACCGAATGCTCTTAAGAGGGTGACTAAGCTTTGCAAAGTGCCTTTCCCCCCCCACTAACCTGCCTGTGACAGCCGTGCAGAGATGGGCTGTGCTGCACTGGGGGAGCCCACCGACCCCCCAGGGAACCTGCCAGCACCAAGTCCAGCACCCTGCCCTCGGCTGCCAGCGCCACAGCACCGCACCCAGCACCTGCCCGTGCTGGCGGGGCACAGGCATTTCTCATCGGGCCCCTCACCCTCTCACTCAGATGGCATTTTTCTTGCCCTTACCGACGGGTCCTGGACATGCAAGTCTTTCCTCAGAGCTGAGCCACACGGCCGTACAACATTAACAGCCTTTTGTTCCACATGTGGGGTGACTGTCCGTGACACCGCATGATTCCCTCATTCCCAAGGCTGAGCCGGCAGCTTTGTGCCTCCTCTGCTCGGCAGCGATGTGGGCAGCCCTCCCACGCATCTGCGCCACGTGTGCTGCCACAGGTACCACCTCCTGCCAACAGGTACACAACCGGAGTCCGCTTTGGCACACAAGCGTTACAACCCTGTGTCAGGGGAGAGTACAGGCGGCACAGGGAACAGCACACAGCAGGAAGCTGTCTGCCTGCAGGTCTTCCCTAACAACCCACGTAGCGTCAGCAGCATACTGACATTGCCTGCAAGAGAACAGGCAAACGACGTGCAGAAAGCTGTAGGTGTGGTGAAGTGGTAGAGGCGGAGGCGCTGGGAACCCGCCGTCTGCCCGTGTCTCAGCCCCCCAGCAAGGGGCCCTGCTAGGACTGGTGCTTACACTTAAATGCAGACATCCAGCGCCAAGGGCAGCCGCTATTGCAGCCCAGCCAGGCAGCTTGGTTAGCACAGCAGCGCCCGTAAGCGTGCTTAAAAACAGCTGGTGTAGGGCACTGATTTGAGTGAGTTTACCAGGATTCTGCAGACAGCTGAGCTGGTCTAACCCAGCAGCAGCGGTGGTGTCCAGAGGGAGGATAGTCCAGACTGAAGTTAGGCCAGAATCTTGAGCCTTTTCCAGAAAAGCTCGTTGCTGCGCATCCTGGCAACTTTCCAACACTTATGTGCTTTTAGCTATGGGTCTTTAAAAGCAGGTGTAGTGAAGAATGACAAAAGATGGACAGTCCCATTTTCAGACCCATGGGATCATGACTTGATTAGCAACAGACGCTGCGCTGCCAAGCATCCTGAATCTGAATGAGGCCAGAGGCTCACACCCCATGTCAGAAATCCACAACTTCTTCCTGACTTTGATAGTGTTATCCACAACAGATATTGCTGTAACGTCCTGGGTCAAGAGAGTCTAACCAAGCAGGGACTAAATTAATGAGACACGCTGCTTCTTTTGAAGAAGCCTACACTGTTAATTCATGCGTTACTTTAGAGACATCTCACTGTTCTGTCTTTCAGTACATCGGTAGCTTGGACGTACCCAGGCCCAACAGCCGCGTGGAGATTGTGGCAGCCATGAGAAGGATTCGGGTAAGTTCAAAAGAGCTGAACCCCACGTGGAATAATAGGTTACATGCACTGGAGTGACTTGGTTGCAGTGCACTGTTCTGCGTTCCCCTCACCCTTCCTATCTGGAGCTCAAATCTCAGCACAATCAGGACAACTGGTACAAGCTTCTCTGGAAATTCCCAAGGCATATTAGGATAGACCCATCCCCTGCTCTTTGCAAAGGGATTAGTTAGCAAAACTCAAACATAAAACCTTAGTCTCTGCTGAGCAGATATGGGAATTCTCCTTGAACCCAAGAGATTTATTCAGCCTGTTTGGTTTTTTTGTGTGTCTGAAAAATAAAATGTACACAGTCAGTTCCACAAAAGTACTCAAATTCATTGACCATTCCAAATATATTATGTTATTATATATTGAAATATAAGTAGCCTAGCAGATGTTATGGATGTAAATCCCATCAGACTAGACTTTGTGGATTCTGCTGCTCATGGAATAATTTGCTACTTTCTGATAATCCTCCAATACAGTTTTACAGTTCCTGTTTCTCATCATCAAGTCCAACGCTCTTCCTCCACTAGCCCCTTATTCTTCAGAACAGCCTATGACTGGTCACCAGATTTAGCTACGATTAGCAGGGTGGCTAGCTTATATCTGCTGCATGTATAACCTGTTCAAGTGTATCTGCCCCAAAAGGCAGTGCAGCTGTTGTGCCTGGCTGAAGTTTGCAGGGGGCTTAATTCTGAGGCTGTTCATATGCCTCACATCAGCTGAAGCTGGTTTGAGAATCTTCCATTTAAAGCTTTGAAGGGATTATCCTATTTTTCCCCCTCCCCCCGCAGTGTTTAACCATCTAATTTTCATTTAGAATAGTGCTTTTTAAACTTAGCCTGTAACTGGCTGGGGAGCTGATGTATTCATCCCCGGCCAAGCTCAGAAATGACATTCCCTTGCCTTTGCCTGCTCGGAGTGTTAGCACAGCTCTTGCTCAGAACACAGTGCAGCAGCAATCTAAATCGCCTGGTTATTTATGGAACAGGTGAACATCTATAGGAAGCAAAGGCAATAGGTGGGAACTACTAAGGCAGTTTAGATATTGGCATAACTATTGGTAATTTTTGATCTGAGTAAATATTTAGCATCAGATACGACACTACACTTCCGCTGATCTTTGACCGCATAGCACCCTTGCAAGAATAAGCAGACAGTATTTTAATATCAGTTTCTAGAAAGTGCTGCATTCTGTTTTCACACCTGTTTTTGCCCCGATGGTATCTAGCTCGGTCTTGGCAGTGCAGTAGCGTGCCTGAGTGCTACGTGAAGCATGTAAGAAACCACTCTGCATTCATGGATGCCATCAGTTAATCTTATCACACAATATTTTTAAAATAGGCATCCTGTATTCTATACTGGGTTTTTAATCTTGGAAACCCTTTCCAAAAAGGGAGGGCTTCCCTTTTCATGTGCGTATTGTACAGCAGAATCTTATTCAGACACTTCCTGGCTGCTGAGCGGAAGATGCTCCTCTATTGACGATAGTTAATTGGCACTGATCCTTAATTAGAGCATAAAGAATGAACTGGGAGGTCTTTGAAGAGAATTCTAGTGCATAGAGTACACAACCTAGGAACTGAGGGAAGATGGGGGTTATTTATGTAGTGTTCATTTGCATGCAGAGGCCTTGTCTATACTAGAGTTTTTTCCCATGGGCTCTCAGCAGTACCAGTTGCAACTGGGAAGAAACACTGGAGGAAGCTATTGGTGGAAACTAGTATTTTGCTACTATCTTATTGTGAGTGGTAGTTTGCACTGCAAGAGTGAGAAAGGTCCAGCAGCCCTGCCAAGTGTTGGCAGGGGCACGTTGTGCTGAAGCTTTCGTCCTTTGTGCACTCCAGTGTTCCACTGGAATTCTCTGCTGGAGCGGAAGAGAAAAGTCACACAGTACAAGCCCCAGCACAACGTTTCCTATGCTGCTCTCTGTGCCCTGCGACATGGGAGGAGGCAGCGTGAGCCATCACTGGAGCAGCTGGTGACGGAGCCAGCGAAGCACGAGGGCAGCCCCCAGCATGGGCAGGCTCTTACTCATTGCTTCTGCCACTCCAGATGGGGACTGGGGAGCAGGGTGAGGAGTCACAGCTCTGTGTTTTCCAGGCTCTGACAGAGCTGGTTACTCTAGTTCTTCTTTAGTAAATGGATACAAGCTCTGAAACAACCTTCCTGCTGCTGTGCCTGGTTCTGGTCTCCAGTCTGTGATTAAAAGCGCTTGCCCCAGGGAGAAAACCTTGAGCTACCCAGCACTCAGAGTTGCCCCTAGAGCACGGGGAAAGTGAGAAGGTGGTAAGAAAAGCAGAAACTCCAGTTGTTACATCTACTCCTTGGCATCTTCCTGTCCCGTGTTTTCTACCAGGCTCTTTTGCCAGTTGCATAGGAATTATACCAGGGAGCCTGGGAGGAGTTCAGTGGTAATCTCCACGCATTATCGGAGCAGTCTGCTTGCAGACTTCAGGACATACGGAGTGCACAGGCTGTAGGACATCACTCCCAGAGCACCTGAAGTGACATGTTTTAACATTAGTCTGTTGAAATAGCAATGTGCTCTTTTGCATCAGGTATTTAAGATGCACTCTCATAGTAAAGCTTAAATCCATATTCCTGACTGAATGGATGCTTGTAATATTGCTAGCAATACTCTATTAGTCACACATTAGATTCCCATTTCATAACAGACTGGAAAACCTTGTCTCATCATGTTCTATGCTTCCACTGGAAGGAATGCAAACGCAATAGGTAGAACAGGGAAGCTGATGTTCTTAGTTTCCCATTATGCGGAGTTAGACAACTTTAAATTTGCTAATCCACCCAGTGGATTACTAGCTACATACAGCTGCCATGTTATTATATGATCCTCAGAGTTCAAACTAATCCCTCTGCCTCCTCTTGCCCTGGCAGGGGAGGTGATGAAATTAGTTTGCTACTTTAAGTACATTGTGCTCTGTCAGGCACGTCAAGTTGCTGTTTATGAGTCCAATCCATTGTGCTGCTCCGAGCTCCGGACGGGCAGGCGTTCCTGCACCTCCCAGGGCGAAGCAGTGCGGCGATTCTGCCGTCTCCTGCTGCCCGAGGCCACCCATGTCTGGGTGTCTGGCAGCGCCCGCTCACGCTCCTGCGTTCAGAGTCAGCGTTCTGGTGGAGCTGGCTTTCTGCTGAAGTGGATTCATCTGCAGATATTTGAGCCTTCTCAGCACTCTAGGGAGCTTATGTACAATAGATTTTTCTTCCTGCAGAAGTGGCAGCTAATGTGAAAGACCTTTGAGGGCCCACATAGCTCCCCAATTCAGCAGGGTCACTCTTTCCCTAGACACACGACTCCTGGCTGCCTGGTAGCGAACAACTAAATACCCAAGTTCTCCCCTTAGCCAGGGGAAGGCTCTCACAGAAGAGGAAAGATGTTGTGGAGCTCATGCTACACTGAAACAAGTAACGGGAAAGCTTTGCTAAAGGTGCTTCTGGATACAGCCCTAGGGGTAAAGATGGGTTTTGTAAAACACAAAACATTTCCTTGAAGCTCCTGAGGTTGCTTGGGAAATCTTGCCCTGGGAGACTGGGGAATAGATGGCTTTATGTGAAGGGTTAACATCACAACATGTCCTGCATCCATTCCCCAGCTTCCACAGAGCTAGCACTGACCAGAGGAGAAACAGTCAGCTCCTGCCTTCCGAGAGCAATGCTACCCTCAGCACAGCGCTTCACAGCCAGTCAAACAGCCCTCGTGAAACGCTGCTATTCTGAGTGGCAAGTTGTACAAGGACATGCACGGCAGGAGTAAGTGTCAAAGCCTGTCATCCCCACAGACAGCCTGCTGCCAGCAATTCCCCAAGTCACTCCATTTAATTACCTTCAAGGCACAGAATCAGTTTCCCTGGAATTTGCACTTAAGATTCTATGAAGACTAGAAATTTTAGGTCTGTTTGGAAGGTCTAGCTTGGACCTAAGCAGGTATTAACACTCAGAAAGGAGCCAGATGTTGGATTATTTAATCATTTCATAAGGGAACAGCCAACTGGTGCTGTGCCCATCCAAGCACCAGGGTGAATAAACAGAAGGCAGGCATCCAGACTAATGTGTTTCTTCTGTTACCTCCACGTTTCTTAGGCTTAATTTAATTGAGAAGTCTTTTTCCCCAGAGGCCAGTGCGCCAGAGAAGCAGAAACATTTATAAATCTTGACGCAGGATACACCAGAAATGCCTGAGTTCTCCTTGGCATGAGAACTGGCTTCTCACTTCAACCTCCCTCTTACCCTGCTCATTCTTGCTGCAGCCATGCTCTTAAGCAGAGGCTCAACACTTTGCAGTTTCTCCACATGCTATTCTAGTGAAGAAGTGAAATTTAGCCACACTAAGTCATATTGACTGCCACATATCAACTGGTAGTGTTCAAGTGTGACATGACATTAAATCAGGATGAGTAAAACTTACAATCCTACAGTGCAACCTTGTGAAGCAGAGCCAGCAAGGACAGCTGCACAGAGCCTGGCACTCCTGCACCCCAGCAGCTCCCAGTCTGAACACTGGGCTGGCTCCATACAGCAGCTTACACTTAAAGCCAGGCCAGGCTATAAGTTGCAATGGTTCAGGAGAAAATATGGATGTCATTTATCTGCTCTTGCTGCAGGAGAGGAACCAGGTAGACAGCTGGCAGAGGGCAGGGTGACTGCCTTCAGCCATCTCAGCTTAATTTAGCACTGTGTGGCAGACTTCAGCGGTAGAGATGTTTAATAGACTTGTTCATGAGATTCTTCTAGAACACAGTTCCTTCAGTTTTCCCAGACAGACAGCCTTCTTAATACAGAAGTTCACCAAGATAACTGCTGCCTGGATTCCTCTGATGTAGTCTGCCTATAAGCCCTTCCTGAGTTGTTATGCTTGGAGCTACGTTTTCCTGCCAGCTTCATGTTAATCTGAGCTGGAGTTGTGATCAGTACTAAAAGAAGATGGAAGCTGAACTCCCAGCTGCTGGGTTTCT